CATAATTCAACCAATTTTAGAAACGTGATGTACTAAAGGAGCTTTTAATTAATTTCACAGTCGATTTTAATTCAGCTGCGATCCATACGGATAACAAAAAAAATCGATTTTCTTTAAAAATGTAGCACCGATTTTTCGTCATTATTTCATATCGCTGAATTTTGAATACTCCCGAAGGAGATTTATCTTGCTCTAAAAAAAGAATTCGGACTCAATCAATCGAGACACGTTCGTTTACGAACCGAATTATTTAGCGTAGCTGGGACAGGTGCGCGACTTTTTACACAAACACGAGAAGATAATGCGATTTCTTACGGGACTGGACAATCCAACAGAACGGATTACCTCCTCCCGCGTATTTATTATACGTGAGGCATTCGTCACATATAACGGCGACCTCTACTTGTTTGCCAACAAGCGCAGTACGTTTCTTATCCTTATGGCCCGTCCAACATGTTGCATCTCTCGCGTCTTCAAATAGATTCCACCAGTCCACTCACTCAAATCGTGACCACAGGGTCTGCTTCTCCCAGCTGCGCTTTTCGCGCTTTCGGTGCTTAAAATGGAACAAATGTATACTTGTGTCTCGACAGAGAATCCAGCCCTTGTTATGTAAAGGGATTCAAGCGTAACTTATTTGATAGTTTGGAATTTCAGACAATACCACATATATCTATCTTTCGTCACTCCTCTGATATTGAAAGTATTCTTTGAGGCTTAAAAATATTTCAATTTATTAAAAAGATTTTAATTTTGCGCAAACACCGCTCACATATTTATTTCGTGTTTTGTAGAGTTAATTCTGTGCTGCGATATTATGCATTTAAATTGCAGAGCTGAATTCGTGAATATCCCCACATTTTTCGCCGCGGTCTAAATAATTCATTATTTCAATAATATTTTAATTCAGAATGTTCATATGTCTCGATACTTTTCATTAAAAGCTTGAAGTCGACGCACCCTTTGACTTATACAATTAGATGAAAGTTGAATAATCATACACAGTCTCATACAACCTTGACAAAGAAAGTAAAAATTCAGCAACTTGAATATTTTATTTATAAAATAGAAATCCAAAAGAAGATAAACTCTTTTGAGGGAAAAAATTCAATTTGTGATTAACGAAGTCAAAACGATATACAGACTGTATGTCTTATAATTAAGATATTTTAAGGATAAAAAGAAACGTAACGTTTTTTCAAAATTCTCACCCCGCAGTATAAATCCGTTCCTAAACGAACCGAGAATCGAGAAACTACCCCAAGAGCGTCACATAGTCCTTGGCAGGACGCGCGGGGCGGCGGCGAAAGGGGAGGAAGCGATGCCGGAGATCGGGAGAGCGGCAGTTCCCCGAGCTTGATCTCTGCCAAAATAATTAGGAAGCCGTCGTCGAAGACGTGCTAAAAACGTTCGCTCGGGCGCGCGCGATTTGGCCGGCTAGTCGCGTCCCGGGCGCTCGAGCGAGCTGGTCGTCCGGACAGTGTCCTCGGACAGAGAGCAGTCCGCAGCGGAGTGTTGCCGTGGTGCCGCAGTACCGCGCGACCGGTCGCCGAGTCCGTGCCGTATCGCGCGGCGTAGGTTGATTCTGCCCTTCGGCTTTCCGAGGCCGATCTGGCGTGAGAGAGATTGCGACCCGGGATAACCAGCGACGAGAGGGTTAGTTTTGCCATCTCTCCGCGATTTCTCGAGCCTCAACCGCGATATTCGGGCTTTCGCCCTGTAAAACGAAGGAAAAGCTCCCTCCTCCCATTCTGTTTATCGTAACACTAACAACATGATGTAATTGGTATAATTGATGTAACAGCGATTTGTGAATAATCCAGTGAAATCGTCAAATTGATCGCACTGCAATTGTTTGAAATCAAAAAGTATAGCTTTGTAAAAAAAAAAAAAAATAAGGAGTCCACTGAGATCCATTTCGATTCTTGCCGTTCACGCACTGATCTGTCACAACATAATAGCGGTTTTAAAACCTCGAAGAGGAATTTAACGAATGCTTGAGAGAAAGAGAGAGAAGCTTCAAATCTGTACTTAATCATGTCGAAGAGTTTAATTAAAAATACTCTGACTCAGTGTCTTTAATTTAAAACGCGCGCCATCCCGAAAATTAATCCTGTCCGCGTCGGAAGCAAAAGCAAACGTCGAAAAAAAAATTAATGAAAGATTTCCACGGATCCCGTGATTGCTATAGGATTGAGTCGTTTCGATTACGTCGTTTTGGATTTGTGTGTTAAGTCGTGGAATGTGAATAGGGGATCCCATAGGAGCGCCCGTATATGTGACGTGTGTAATTAACCGCTTGTCAGCATTTTAACGGAATTGTTTCGCTCTGACCGCATTTTCCGCACGAGGAAGTTGACGTGCGATGATTACGGGGGGTGTACCGTGGGAATTGGATACGACGTGTTTAATTAATCACTCGTCGGCACACTTCGGCGCGCTCTTCGCTCCCGAACGTGTTATCTCGAATTCGCGAAACGGATGATCAATATATATATATATATATATATATATATATGTCGAATAGCTGAGCGGGACCCCTTATGGGAATTACACGTAATCTTCCGCTGACATTCGCAAACACTTAAGGCTCGATATCTAAGGGAATACGCTGTGGGAATCACGCTTTGATACGTGCAGTTAAATATTGTTTTCCCCAATTGATCGCGTCGCCTTAATTTAAAAATTTTAATTGACGGAAACATTTCCGAGGAAAATAATAAAAAAATATTCGCATGACTTGCGAATATCTTCGCTCGTTAACAGTTTTAACGTATGCGCGTGTCGTAGTCGATTGTGTTATCTCGGTGGCGCAAACTTGCACGGAAAATTAACAGAAAATTACGGGAGATTATGAATGTTGCGATATTTTCAAGCTTCAAGCTTTTGTAAAAAAAAAACCAACTTTTGTATCTAAAAAAAAAAACGCAGTTTTAGTTGTCGGAAAGACTTATCGCAGTGCGCTGGGATCCGCGGCACCACCATGCGACCCATGTTATAAATCCCTCCGCATAACGAGCAAACATCCCTGGGATTTTGTGTGTGTATGTGTGTGTGTCTAGAGTCCAAAGATGAAAATCCAAGGGGTATATAAAATACATCTAAACAATGTCCGAAATATCCGACGGGCTTTTAGACGCATTTCAGACATCTCTTGGAGCCACGCCAGCGAGATCTTCGGGCGCTCCTCGAGTTCCGACCGTGTCGAATTTGCGAGTTATTAGGGAAAGTTAATAACGTCCAATGATTAGCGGGGCAATGAAGAGCACCCGGATAGAGTCACCAAGTCGCGAAAGTTACATCAGGCGGATGCGTTTAGCCGTTCGCCAGCGTGTGCCCATGTAGATGTCTCGTGGAAAATCCGAGGCAGAGGAATTTCGCGGGACGTGTCGAGAGCCATATGAAAATGACCTTGAGAATAAAAGCTCACCGAGCTGGCTGGCGAAGCTCGTCGGATAGATTCAAAGATCGCGTGTGTTTGAGTTTTCAGATGACTCGAAACAATTAATCTACTCCGACTCTTCCCTCGACAAGGTCGAACCGCTTGAAATTAATCATCCTCTCGAACTTGAATTTCGAAATCGCGTTCGATCGCGCGTATTCAAACGAGAGAAGTTTGAAATTCAATTGAAGGGAATGTGTATCTTGGGGCAACGGGAAAACTCACCCCTGGGTTTCTTTTCCTGTTCAATCATCCCCGCACTTCTGACGCAATTCGTCGTTCCAGCGAGCCCGTTGCTCTACCCTCCCAGACTTGTTTATACCGCGGGGATATAAATAATAACTTCATCGTGTGTCACGCCGGTATTAATAATGCGGCCCGTTTCGCTTGGGATTGAATTAACATTTCATTTCTCGGCGAAATGAGATATTCAAATCCGTCACTCTGGTACCGAAGTCAAAAACCAGCTGGATCGCGTCGCGCACGTTACGTACGTGTACCTATGCGTAAGAGATTCGAAATAGATTCGAAATAAAAAAATAAAAAAATAAAAAAAAAAGATAAGAACTAGCGGAAATGCGTGTTTTCGAAAACCTCGGTTATCGCGAAGCGACGATCTCCGCGGCGCGAGCGAGACGTACATACATATACGTTCGCTCGGTCACACTCTCCTTCGCGGAGGATTTCGCGCGGCGCGCTTCGCGAAGCGGCAATTAACGGCGAGCGGGTTGAGGATTCAGCGCGGCAAGTATACGGTCCGTCGGTCAACAGTCGACGGCCCGCCCGTCGCCGGCCGACGGTCGCGATTACGTAAGGGGAAACACGTCGCGGACGGTCCCGTCACCGGACGGGCGTCTTAAAATACGCGCCAAGGAAATAGCCTAGCAGAAGCCTGAAAATAGCCGCACCGCGTCACGCGGCCGCTCGGCCAATGGCGTCGCTCCACATGCTCGCTGTCGGCGAGACGCGCGGCGCGGCGACGCGTGTCGCCGCGAAACGGGCCGCCGTCGCCGCCGCGCCGCGGAACGCCGCTCGCCGGCGAAACGTAACGCGCCTCGCGAAAGCGGTACACGATCATCCGCGGTAGTCCCGACCGTTCCGGAAACAGCCCGTCGGTGCGTCCCGTGGGCGCCGATTAATTGCTAGTCGAACGATCGACCGCGGCCGCGACTCGCGGCGGGAACGCAATCCGGCGGCCGCCGCGGCGGCGCGCCCGTCATCCGGCGCAGGCGCCGCCGCCAGGTGGCGCTGACGCTCGCGCGATGATTCGCCCGATTCGCCGTGTCAGTCTCGCGGAAGCGGAGGTCAGGTTGGCACAAGTTGCAGTCGCGCTGGTCACACACATCGTGTTCCGGGGAAAATGACGTGCGTCCCGTGCATCCGCGCCTCGTGATAGCTCTCCTCGCGCGTGCAGCGATTCGCAGCAACAACGGCGGCAACAGCAGCAGCAGTAGCCAGCGGTAGTAGTAGCAGCAGCAGCAGCAGCAACAGCACCACCCGTAGTACCCCGTCGTTCGTCGGCACGTTTTTCCTCCTTTTCCTCCCTTCGCGTGCGCGCGCGCGAGCGAGAGAGAGAGAGAGACGGGCTGCGCGTTATTCGCGAGAGTGAAACGTGAAGTTCGGAGCAAGTCCGTCGTGGATAAGCACGCGCGCCGCCGCCACCGCCGCCGCCGTCGCCGTCGCTGCGCGGCTAACCTAAATATTCGGCGGCCGTAACATAATTTTCTCTCTCTCTCTCTCTCTCCTCTTTCCTTCATTCCCTCTCTTCCTCTCCTTTCGTCTCCTCTCTCTCTCTCTCTCTCTCGCTCTCTCTTTCTTTTGCTGTCCCCTCCCCGCCTATAGTTTCTCTTTTCCCGTCTCCCTCACTCGCCGTTGACACGTCGTCATCAACGGGCAAGTCGTGTCCGTCGCACGTCAACGAGAGTCACGAACCTCGGCGAGGATACCGTAGCGCGCCCGCGAGTGCATGTCGCGCGGACACGTCGCGCTCCGAGCAGAAGTGAGTCGAAACCGCGGTGGTGTGCGCGCCGCGCTTCTTCCGTCGTCCTCGTTCCCGTCGCCGTCGCCGTCGTCGCCGTCGGCCCGTCACGCGGACCTACCGTCGCGTTTCGTAATTTCGCACGGAGGTGGAGCACCGTGGGACAATCCCCTGCGTCTCGACGACACCTTCGGTAGTTGGAGTTTATTTTACTTCTTTTTCTCTCTGTATCTCTCTCTCTTTCTCTATCTCTCGCTTCTCCCATCGCGTCCGTTTCCGCAGCACTTACGTGGTACGCGTGGATGAATTTACGTGGCCGAATTCCCGGCAGTTTCTCCAATCGCATCTTTGGTAGTTTTTTTGTCAGGACACGTCGCGTGGATTGGCGTCAAAGCCCCTTCTTCCCTCGGAAGCTCCTTTCAGTTGAATATAATGCGTGACGGAATATATTCTCGAAAGAAATATCGCGATAAAGGGTTATCGTTAAGAAGTAATTTTCTACTTCTTGAAGATCGAAAATTTATATAAGTTCAGAGAAGTACAATTTCCCCTTGATTCGTGTTAAACATAACTTATTTCTTGAACCTTTATATTCAGACTTTTATATTCTTACTAGGATAAAAAATATTGAAAGAAGCTTAGAAATTTTTGTTTATTTGTAAAACATAACATTTACGAGATAGCCGGATAATTAAAGAATATAACTTTAAAATTTAGAATTAACTTAGACCTTGCTTAGATATGCAACTCAATTCGTTATTTTTATCTGTTTGAAATCATCGTATTTCATCATCAGAAATGCTACATAATAAATTGTTTTAGAAGTAATTGCCAATAGATAAGAAAAATTTAACATGGATATTTTTTAAGATTATTTTTTGTCTCATGACTTGGCATTTTGAAAACAGATGAAAATAATGTATGCTTTACACATTCGACAACCTTGAACACGGCATAGACTTATTGTGTTAGAATAGTTCCTTTAACAGCAGTCATTAGTTTAATCAGTTTTTCAGTCACTTCACTCACAAAGTGAATGAGCTTCTACTCATAAAAAAGCTCGCTGATTGTATAATTTGTGCTACTTTTTTACTCGCTCGAAATTTATTTACATTGAAGTAATTCTTTAAACGGCGGTATTCCAGCTGCTCTGTTATTCCCTGTGCTATTTTCAATGCGGCGTAGCAAACGTTTTGTCTAACAAATAATTATGTTTATTTTCAGAAATTGTTAGTGTGAATGAACGTACGCGATCACTGAGAGGATAACACTGGTGAAGCATCCACGAAGCAGTAACCATGGAGGACGGCCATGTTAAAACTGTAGACGAAGTGATAAATTACTTTAACGTCGATCCTGACCAGGGACTGAGTCCTGATCAAGTCAAGAGGAACCAGGAGAAGTATGGTCTCAACGGTGAGTAATTAGTCTTTCTTTCTTCGTACATCTGGATTTTCGGAGCCTTTGATATAGATTCGCTCGTGTTGGTGTATCTGTCGATTGGGCGATTTATATTCGTTCAAAAAGCGCATACATTTCTCTCAATGTTATGTCACAAATTAAATATACACAGTAAAATATTTATGAAAACTATTCGCGCTTAAATTAGGAATTAGGTCGATTAATAAAATAAAATCAAACGGTGAAAGGAAGCCGTGTATTTTTATTGTTCGCTCCGTCATGTGGAAGGGGATCAGATCTCTTTAATATGCAATGTAGTCGTACGTGAACTTTACAAGGTGTTTTCGAGTTATCGCCATTCCAGTTTGTTCCTTTCAAGTTTACCTTCCTTATCTACGCCGAATCGACCGTACTTTTACAACTTAATCTACTCCGCGATTAAATTTCAAATTAACCTATCGCCACTGGGTGCACTTTAAAACTTGTACAAACGCGAAGCTTTTTATTGTCAGTTAGCAACGCGATTCTTCGATCGCATTCGCATTTGATCGAGAAGGAGAAGAAATTGACCTTACGGAGATTACCTCGAGGAATCTGGAGAGGAAAGGCGCGGTGTGGCGGCCGCGGGGTGCCATGTAGTTATTTGCGCGTTATTATACGCGTAACACGCGCTCGAGCACGGAAGCGATATCGTGGCGCTCGCGGAAATAACGCGCGTCTATTCGCCCGTCGCGGTGCGCGGGTAAAAGTGCCCTTATCAGCTCGATACGTCGCCATGTGTGCATACATGCGTGTATACGTGTGCATGTGTGTACGTGTATCACGCGTGTTGGCTCGTCCCCACCATCGCACGGGGGCTACCACCGCCAGCTACCGTCGCCTCCTCCGTACACGTGTTCGGAGAGCCGTGATTTTCTCTCAATGATGATTACGCGCATGTGTCGTCTCTCTGATTCCGACCGCAGGATCGTCCTCGTTTTCCGCTCGTCGGTTACACACCCGAAACGCTACATAGGCCGCGGGCGTGTAAAAAGTCTACAATGGGAGTAATATGGTGTATAGTAAAACATATGTCGTAAGAATTAATCAGTCATAACCGAATACGAGGAGAATCGACTATATGACTGGTCAATTTCTTACAGTTTACGATTTACTACATTATATTACTTCCATTGTAAATGGAAGTCCTTAAAGAGTATCCTTTTGTCCGCATAAATCTATAGAGACTCGAAATGAGAAATTATTATAATTGGCGAGAAATTACTCAGGATCATCTCCGATCGGTATCTCGGATGATAGTAGTTTATCGAAATACCTCTCGTATATAGCCACGTGTTTATCAGGGGATTTTGCCTATCTCTATATTTCAATATGAGAGAGATTAAATTATCCGAACGCGCGCGTATACAGTTACTTATATGTGTGGGGTCCCAATTTTCCACGTGTGTCACTTCATTTCGAACGAGTCTGCTTATGACGTGTGTATCTGTCGATGGTTTACAATAATGTAATCGGGGGACGTTTAAATCATCGACATTCCAATTTCCGTCGCAGACAAACCGCCTGATCGAATCTCGCACATATATGTATTTTGGGAAGCGCTACCAATTATGCTGACGTCGAAGATTCAATCGCGCTTGAGAAATAATAATTCTTTCGCGATAGCGTAAGTCGTAACTTAATCCCTCCCCGATAACGCGACTAATTAACACGTCAATCAACGGCCGTGACAAGTATATTGTTGATAAAAGACTTATTATTTTAATAAACTTATCACTATATACACATATAATTTTTACTTGACCTAAAAGTTATAAAAACTCAATTTAGAATGATAGCGCGTGGATCATGTCAATAATAATATCCGCAAAAATTCAATGTGCGATAAAAATTTCGCGAAATACATATATGCATTCATCATGAGATTACGAGAGAGTGCGTTACGTTCAGATAAATTTTTTTTTCTTTTTTTCTTTTCTTTTCCTAAGAGATTAACATTGTGTCGTATAAATAGCTTTAAATAAAAATAGAAAATAAGAATAGAACGGAGGCTACAAATTTTATAGAAATCGCTTTATAATCCCGTCGGTTCAATACAAAATACAATTTTTCATTTTGTTTTGCACGTTACAAATTATAAATCTACACACGGCTATGTGTGCCTCCGATTATTCTTAGCTCCGCCAAGAACAAGAAGTGCTGTAGAGAGTATATTTTTGATCGAATACCGATAGATTCTGCGGTCGAGTTAAATTAGGATTGAAGCAACACCGTTGATTGAGCGAAATGTCGACACGTAACCGTTGCAACCCTCGCTTTGTAACTTCTGTTGATTTAACGGCTGCAAAATTAATCCCTCGGTGATCGCGCGGGCGATGAGGAAGTTGGAGAAGCGCGCACGTGTTTCGAACGGTTTATTTTCGCATAACGCGCTGGTTAGCGCTCGTCGAAATACCGGACGTTCGCCCCCTTCCTTCCTTCGCTCGATCCCGAGGAGACCGAGATTCTACCTCGAGAATCTGATGAGATGAATTATCGGCGCAATTACTGTCTTATGCGATACGCTTATCTGCACTTCCGAGATTTCCATGAAAGAAAAGGCGAGTCTCGAGAGAGCTCATTTCATCTTGAATCAAGAGATCTCGTATATATGGAAGTAAAACAAAATAAAAATTGAACGTTATTGCTCTCTAGACTTTAATCCCGATTGTCTCATCTCCGCCGAGCGAGAATTGCAAGATCGGAAAAGAATAAGAGGAGAAAAGGAGTGACAGAGTTACTCCGCGTTACGCGAGAATGTTTATTAGTTCTAACGCAGTTCGCGTGTGCGGCGTGTCGATTGAATCCATCCGTCTTGGGGAAGTGCATCTAATCGCGCGCACGTGCGACGTGCCCGGCCCGGCCGGGGATTTCGGGGCTATTCGCGTGTATACATAATACGCGGTAAACATTACGCGAGGGATTACGGCGGAGCTACAAAATAGGCGCGAGTGTGCGCGACGAAGTATCGTCTTTCGTTTACGAAAATAAAATACAGCGAGCAACAAGTCCGCCCGCGTTGGAATCTTATAGTTGGACGTTATCTGGCCGCGTGTCCCGCCGCTATTTTGACGCTCCCCCGAAGCGGTTCCGAATCTTCGACGTGTGTGATACAATTTTAAATAACACGTGGGTATTCCCTTTTCCGGCACCTTCCTTTCCGCACCTGTGGATTTTTCTCGACCGAAATACGATCAGGAAGATCCTCGTGATTGTAAATTGTTAGCCTCTACAAGAGGCGTCTACAATGAGACTTAAGATTTAAGATTTAAAAAAATTGACCAATCACAATCGATTAATTCTTCTCACGTGAGATGATTGGTCAGTTTTTCTTAAATCTTAAGTCTCATTGTAAACGCCGTTTTAGGCATCCGTGAGACGGTCAGTTAAAAAATTTTATTGGTGTACACTTGAGATTGAACGATCAGTTTGATACGACGGACTCGTCGCAGGGGCTCGTATAGACAGCTTGTAATCCAGAACTCGTCAATGTTTCGATTTTTTTCTCGTAGTATTGGTATAAGTTTTCAGAATACTGAAGTCCAGGAAAAAGTCCGGTAGTTCTATTGACGACACGTTCCGAGATATATTAATCATACAGAATAGGCTGTGTGCGACTATAATTACGACTATAATCGCTGTATTTTATTTTCGCGGCAACGCGAGTCCTGCAAAGATATAGTGCTCGATAATTGATGATCATGACGATTATTTACAAACTTGAAGCAAACTCGTTTTTATGCATAGTAACATGATTAATTATATGTTTGTAAATGCGTCAAAATGTCCTATAATAAAGACATATAATAAAATACTCCTTCCTCGGTAGATGATCAAATCTTCCCTAATATTGGCCATTATAAAAATTGTCATCATATTATCGTATATTACTATCGTATTACTCAATTCTGAGAACGCTATGAAGTCTCATGAGTCGTTATTAACTGGCTTTTAGTCTTCGATCGAATAATCGATACGGAGTGCTAGCACATTTGTTACGTATAGGATATTGAATAATAGAATAGCATCTTATATGCAGCGCGAAATTAATTACATCGATACATTTTGTATCACAGATATGCCGAGTTAGTTAGTTAAACTACCTTAGGTTTAATCTCAAAAATTATTAGCTGGACGAGAGACCGAGCGCGATAGGTGCGTAACACTTTAAGGTTCAGATCGATCCGCTAATACCGGAACCGTGCCGCTGTGTTGCGAGTTTGATGGATAGCGTAACTCAATTGCGCGTGGCCGAGCGTTGCGTTTGGCAGGCTGCATGTAGCCTGATGGCCGACGCTAATTGCATCAAGAAGAACAAAAAACGTAATTTCATTTAGGATAAAAATCCCGATTCGGTCTCCCTTGATTGCGAAGATTTGGAAGCATCAGCTTAATAAAAACGCAGTATTTGAAAAATTGGAGCGCGAAGCTTACTTTCATCAAGTAAAAGGTCTTGTTACAATCGATTATTATTACATTGTATATATCACGAGAAGGTTTAACTCTTGCGTTAATTTAAATTTTAATGAAGGAATGGAAACGTTAATTAAAGATCCCACGTAAAAGTGAAAGATAAAATTGGGAAGGAAGAACTTCGCAGGCGAAAAAAAGATGACGATGATTTCGCGTATGATGTTTGAAATTGAGAAATTAAAGAGACTTTATATTGCTTATTTTTATACACTTTTAAAGATAAAATTAGAAATTAAAAGTATAATTAATCGGTGATACGTTTTTTTTTTTTTTACATTGACGTACATACAAAAGGGGTTTTTGACATCTGCCTTTCAGATAGTGCTTTTACGGAGACTTTTGTTATGATTTCCATTGGATAAGTATATAAACGCAGGCAGACTTTGCACGCATTATGATAAACGGATATCGTTGCGTAACGCAGATGAGGCCGTCTAAATTGCAATAAATGCTTTATTTAATATGTACGCGTTGTCTCTGTTATTTCCCATTATTGCCGTATG